GCCATCTATGTCTTTTTTGCAGAAGTGCCACTTCAGTGCTTTTGCTCATTTTTTAAAAAATATTTTATTTATTTATGCATACAGAGCTGGGGTACAGGCCAGAAGTGCAGGTGCAATGAGAGGATTCATCAGAGACAGAGTGGGGAGCAGAATAGACCAACTGATGAAGTACACTGCTGAGGGGAGCAGCGGGCCGGTCAGGAGAGGTCTGCCATGGCATATGGGTCACCTCTGGGGCTGGGAATCGAACTCATGCAGAAGTGGCTTTAGCTTCTTTGTGCTATGCTTTAACCCACTGCGCCACCAGGGAGGGCACTCTTTTGCTCATTTTTAAAATTGGGTTATCTGTTTTCTTTTTGTGGACTGGTATAAGTTCTTCATAGATCTTGAATATCAGTTTCTTGTCAAATATATGGTATGCAAATATATTCTGTTTCAGTAGAGTGTTTTAGTTATGGTTTCTTTCCCTGTGCAGAAACCTTTTTAGTTTGATGTGCAATTGTTTACAACTGCTTGTTTTCCTTGCCGCTAGAAATGAATCCACAAAGACATCATTGAAGCTTGTCATGAAGTGCTTCCCCTGTTTTCTTCTATGTATTTTGTTTTCTTCTGTGTATTTTAGGGTATCAAGTATTATATCCATATCTTTTATCCCTTTTGAGTTGATTTTTGTGTGTGGTATGAGATGCAGTTTAGTTTCACATCAATATTCCAATTTTCACACCATTTATTGAAGATTTCAATGTATTTTCTTGGTTCCTTTGTGACAGATTAACTGCCCATATAGGTGTGGGTTTATTTCTGGGTTCCCCATTATTTTCCATTGGTCTGCATGTCTGTTTTTGTCCCAGGACCAAGCTGTTTTAGGTATTAGGCTTTATAATATAGTTTGAAATCTGGACGTGTGATGTTGCCATTATTCCTCTTTTTCATTAGGATAGCTTTGGGTAGTTAGTGGTTTTGTGTGAATTTCAGTAATGTTTGTTCTATTTCTTTAAAGAATGTCACTGAAATTATAAGTGGGATTTTATTTATCTATTATTTTTTTTAGGTAGGATGGCTATTTTAACAGAGTTGATTTTTCTAATCAATGAGCAGCATATATCTTTCTACTTCTTTGTGCTTTTTTCCATTTCTTTTAACAATGTCTTATAGTTTCCTTTCTTCTCCCTTAATTTTAATCCTATATATTTAACTAATTTTGATACAATTGTAAATGGTTCCCCCATGACTTCTGCCAGCTCATTTTTTGCATATAGGAAGGCATGGATTTTTGTGCATTGATTTTTTTTTATTTTATAACACTTTATTTTTACATCATTTTGTACATTTTTTTTCAATCTCAATTGTAATTCCCGTGGGTTTCCCATCACCATGTCACCCGTGTGCCATCACCATAATCCTGTGCACTTCTCTCCCTAGCCCTGTGTATTGATTTTTAAAAAAAAAAAAAAAAATTTAAAAGATTTATTTATCTATGCATACAGAACTGGGTTACAGGCCAGAGTACAGGGGTGGTGAGAGGACTCACCAGAGACAGAATGAACAGAACTGGCAGATTTACAAAGTACACTGCTGAGGGGAACAGTGGGCGAGACAGGAGAGGTCTGCTGCGCCATGTGGATCACCTCTGGGTCAGGGGGTTAGACTTGCACAGAAGCTGCTGTGGCTAGCTTGCAGTATTTGCTTTAACTTGCTGTGCCACCAGGGAGGGCCAGTGTGTATTGGTTTTTTATAACCTACCACTTTGCTGAACTGTTTGATTTAATTTTACAGTGGAGTCTTTAGGATTTTCTGTATATTTTCATGTTATTTGAAAATAGTGACAGCTTTACTTATTTTCCCATTTAGATTCCTTTTATATCATTCATTTGCATAACTGTTGTAACCAGAACTTCCAACACCATGTTGAATAGTAGTGGTGAGAGTGGATATCCTTACCTGTATCAGATCTTAGTGGAAAAGCTTTCAGTTTTTTACCACTGAAAATGATGTTAAGGTGGGTCTGTCATGTATGACTTTTATTTTGTTAAGATATGTTCCATTTATCCTAGATTTTTTGACAGTAATACTATAAATTCATTCAGAATTATAACTATCCCTTGAGCCGGCCAATTAGAAAAACCAAACCATTTCCACAGTCATTCCACCTAGTCTAATTTTATACACTGACAAACCTTTCCTGGGGGGAAAATGACCCCCAGATGAGAACTATTGCTCAGGAGGGGAGGAAAATGGTGGAGAAGAAAATGGTGCGGAAGGGTATACTGTAACACTTTGTTCTAATTCTGTTTTATCTAAAGTGTTTTGAGGGAACAAGTACATGCCCTTTTTATGCTACCATTTAGAAAGTAAGCCTATTTTGGGCCCTCCCTGGTGGTGCAGCAGGTTAAAGCACAGCACTGAGAAGCTAAAGCCACTTCCGCATGAGTTCTAAACCTGCCTGCCCCGGAAGTGATCACATGGTGTGGCAGACCTCTCCTGACCCGCCCGCTGCTCCCCTCATCAGTGTACTTTGTGGATCTGCCTGTTCTGCTCCCCGCTCTGTCTCTGGTGAATCCTCTCACCCTCCGCATCTCTGGCTTGTACCCCAGTTCTGTATGCATAAATAAATAAATCTTAAAAAAAAAAAGTAAGCCTATTTTTTCATAAGTCAAGTGGGAACTAGGTACCTAAACTCCAAGGTTGCTGTAAATATTAAAAGAAAAACGGAAACAAACGAACCAATTTCTTAGTACAGTGAGGGAAAAAGAAAGTTCAAAGAAAAAGTTATTAAGGACAGTAGAGAGTAAAGTTAAAATCCGGGATTGATACTGGTGGCAGGGGACCCTAAACTAACCCAGGCCCTGCTGCGCAAACACTTTGCCAAATACTATCTGGGTTCTTCACCCACATGCACAATTGTAAGACTGTTCAAGCTTAGGAAAGAACAGTAAAGGGATTTATTTTTTACTGAGGCCAATAATAGCCATTTACTTTACCCAAAATCACGTCCAGTACTGTCCAGTACTGCACAAAGGCCATTACGATGGCGTCTTCCCACCACTGAGGATGTGCAGCTCCTCTTCCAAACAATAGGCCACGTGTTTAGGATGGTGTCTTCCTGCCTCAGTCAACCTGGGGCACACAGAAGCCAGACCCCAGGCCAGGTTCCCACTCACGAAAACAACAGAAAATGTGACAGAGCTGCAGGATGCTCCAAAACACCACCAGACAAGCAACACTAAGGACAGCAGCTACAGCAACCAAATGACCTGACAAAAGGCCTTAAAAAGCTAAGCCAGGCTGTATTGGCAGCAAAACCAGGAACTGTTTCAGTAGCTCAGCTACTTGCATAGCTTCTTTTCCTGGCCTCCACCTTCTGAGGTCCTCTGTGGACTTCTCCAAAATCAACTGGTCCCAGGGACCAAAACCACTGCCCCCCAAAATGCTGAAGCAACTCCAAACCTGGAACTCAAACCTTGAATCCTGGAGCCCAGACAAAACAACCTTCTTCCTTCTCCCTTTTCTTCTTTTTTCTCCTATTTCCTCTCCAAGGAAGCTCTTTCTCAAAATCAGTTTTTTTAACATTATCCCTGAGGCTGTTTTCTTCTTCAGAGCAACTCCCTTAGGGAGAGGCACCACTAGCAGCAATCTTTGGACTCAGCCACCCAGTTACAGAATGACACCTGAGTTTGTGGTTAAGAGAAAGGCTCATGAAATGGTAGCTAGACATTACCAAAAATACCAGAGCCTGTTAAAGTGGCCAGAAGTTGATCTACAAAACACAGAAGGACTATCTCCTAATGTTCTTTCCCTCCTATCCCCCCCTCTTAGGTCTTACAACACAGCCTGCTTATTGTCACAGAATCAGTCAGCATGACCAGTGGGGACTGGCTAAGTGAGGGTTAGACTGACCATACACTGTCTTAAAATGGCATGCCTGACCAAAATTAACCCTATGACCATCATGAGCTCTCCAGACCTCCACCTCCTCCCCAATAGAGCATGTGACCCATGAAGAAGCAAAAATCCTGACGCCTTCCAGATGGTAACTCCACACTTCCCTGACCCCTTCTTTCCCCCTCTTCCATTCATTTAAGGCTGATTTTTTTCATGTCTACCCAGATGTTGCTCAACTGGGTAAAAGAGAAAAAAAAACATTTAAATAAAGTATAATGAACCTAGTTTGGGATATATTAAGCTAGAACTACTGATGGGCCGGCCATCTAAGTAGAGAGCTGGAGCATGCTAGCTGGAAATTGACAAATGCTATAGTTAAGATTCAAGAGTTGTCTTGGATGGAGCTGGAAAAGATCATGCTTAGTGAGATAAGCCAGAAAGAGAAAGAAAAATACCAGATGGTTTCACTCATAGCAGGGGTATAATGGACTAGGCGAGAAAATAACAAGAATAATGAACAGCCATATACCAGAGACATTTTGTGGGGGTAGAGTGAGGAAGATGATCAAAAATGGGGGGGTGGGGAAGGAAGTGCACGGGATTATGGCGATGGCACACGGGTGACTTAGTGATGGGAAACCCACAGGGATTACAATTGAGATGGGTAAAAAAATGTACAAAATGATGTAAAAATAAACTGTTATAATAATAAAAAAAAGTAGTAAGCTTTAGATAAAAAGCTTAACCTTAGCTTACAATAAAATTAAATATTTTTATAAAATAGTATCAATAATCTCATAAAAAAAAGATTCAAGAGTTGTCAAAATATTATTAGCATTTGGAAACCATAAGCTTTCAGGGGAAACAAAATGGCTAGAAACTTGAGCTATAACTGAGGAAAGGGAATGGAGGGTGACAGAAGAGGTAACAAATTGAAATCAAGAGAGATAAAAGAAAAACCAGAAGAAGTTGGATCAAGAGAATGGTGTAAATAAAGAGTGGCTTATGTCTACTTAGACAATATCGCTATAAAAAAGAAAAACAGTAAGTAACCTATTGGCACAAGAACAAAAGAGCAGAAATACCTATAATTCAGGAAAGAGAGGAGTTACTCTCAAAGTAGCACTTAAAGATCACAGAGGGAGTAACTCTAGAACTAAGAAATCAATTGTCCTACAAATTATTAAAGAAGGAATTCTTCTATACAAGAAAACCCCTGACATCTCACACACCTCTGATTCTTGCCCACCCTCAGCACTAAGCTCAGAACTTCAGTGGTACCCCAGTCATCAAAAGGCCAGTAAGCAGGCTACATAGCAAATACTGCTAACAGGGGTCTCTGACCAGACTTAAGATCCCATGTGGACCATAAAACACACAATCCACAAAGCTAATCAGAAATGCTCTTGGGTTCCATACTTACTATTCTTACTTACTATTCTTGGTTTAATGCTTCTTCTAAAAACCAAGATTGCACAAGTCAGTCTCATGGATTAATTATGTGGTAATGAATCATAGCAGCTGGAATACATTGATTCTCACTGTTAAGATTCTAAATTTGATGTCTATCTATGAAAAGAACACATTTCATTTTACCTTTACCATTTGAACTCAAGAATTGAATTCTTGGAACTGAAGCAGATCTGGCAAATTCCCAAAACTATCAGCAAACATTAGTGTGAATACTTTGCTTGGCTCATGGTCCATTTCCTTTTTTTTTTTTTTAAAGATTTATTTATTTATTCGTACAGAATGGGGATACAGGCCAGAGATGCGGAGGGTGAGAGGATTCACCAGAGACAGAGTAGGGAACAAAACAGTCAGATTGACGAAGTACACTGCTGAGGGGAGCAGCGGGTGAGGCAGAAGAGGCCTGCCTGGCCCTGTGGGTCAGCTTCCTGGCCAGGGGTTGAGCTTGTGCGCGGCGGCTGTGGACAGCTTCATAGTGTTGCGCCCTAACCCGCTGCACCACCAGCAAGCTCCCTCCTCCCCCAGTTTAAATAAAGAGTTCTCACAAAAGTTAAATAGAATATCTTCTAAGTATCCTCAAACTTGGAAATTACATCCAAGATATCATTAGGCAACTCTCCACACACCCCTTCAGGGTGAATCTTCGTCACCAGCCTCCGACACCCTCTTGCCCTGGTTGTACATCCTCCCCTCACAGGGTCAGAACTCCCACACGCCTTCCAAAGTTGGTTCTGAGGGGCTGCAATTCTGGACAAGTCTGTACAGAAAGGTCGGCTAGAAACCCCAATGCAGAAAAATTACCACAAGTTCCATTGGAAACATCGAGAGGCGATTCACTCTATCTTACCTCTGGAAACTCGCACCACAGGTCAAGACTTTTCCAGAAAACTCAGGTCCCGCCCCTTCTGGAGGCATCAGATGCAAGCCCCACCCCTACCGAGTCAGTCGACAACAGGCTCCACCCCTTCCGGAGACCACCTGCAGCAAGCCCGCCCCTTCCGGTGGCTTTCCACAAGCCCCGCCCCATCACGAGCCAGTTGACAAATCTCCGTTCCCAGTTCGTGGGCTCCCTCCTGTTGCTTCTCTTCCATCACTCTTGAGAAACGTCCTGTTGCCAGCCCAACACATTTCAGGCAGTGGAGCTAGAGAAGTGTGAGAAACAGTGCACTTTCCTCAAATCTCTATGTGGGTGAGACACATAAACAGGTAAATATGTCATTCAACGGGTGGCAGTACTTGCTATATAGAAAAACAATGCAGGTTAAGGAAGTGAATGAGGGTGGAGATCGCTGGTCATGAAAGTCCTGTCAAATAAGGTGATATTTGATCAGTCTTTAAGGGAGTGGGAGCAGAAATGATTACCCAGGGGAAGAACATCCCATCCTGGTGGACCATTGAATGCAAAGGTCCTGAGGCTGCTGGAGTGAGGAACCTGCCCTAAAGGCAAGGGTGCTTTATGATAGAGGGAATGTGCTCTTCCTGGCCTTTCTCAACCACGGTCCTTGGGGAAGTGAGGACAACCCCAAAGTGAGGACAGGTATCCCTCCCTCATCTGGTAAGTGCCCTTGTGCTCACAGGGAGATCACCTGACCTGCGCTTGTGACCCCTCCTGTATCCAGAGTGAAAAGAAGGCATTGGTAGGACAGTAAAATAGGATGGTTAGGCAGGCAGCTTTCTCAAAAGTAGAAGATAATAAGGTATACTCAACTAAATGTGAACTTCTTATAATCAACGAATAAATTTTAACTATATCCCTTGCAAAATTATTTTTTGTTTAACTGATGTTAAATTGGATGTGATTTTTTTTTTAAGATTTTTTATTTATGCATACAAGAACCGGGGTACAGGCCAGAGATGGGTGTATGGGTGTGTGTGTGTGTGTGTGTGTGTGGCGCGCGAGAGTGTGTGTGTGTGTGTGTGTGTGTGTGTGTGTGTGTGTGTGTGTGTGTGTGGCGCGCGAGTATTCCCCAGAGACAGAGTGGGAAGCAGAACAGGCAAATTGATGAAGTACACTGCTGATGTACTTCATCAGCAGCAGGGGGAAACAGAAGAGGCCTGCCGCCATGTGGGTCAGCTTCCCCGCCAGGGATTGAACTGGCGCTGAAACTGCGACGGTTAAGTTAGCGTCTTAGTGCTGTGCTTTAATTCGTTGAGCCACCAAAGAGGGCCCCGCATTGTGTTTTTATATTGGGCAAAAGTATTGTGGAGTTCAGATGCCAACTTTAGAATAGTGCTATGCCAGGCCATATGGAACAAAAAATGTTTTTTAATGGTTAATATTCCCAAAATATAGTTGAAAAATATTGAGGGTCCTCCCTGTTAGAGCACATGTTGAAGCACAGCACTATGAAGCTAGCCTCAGCCACTTCAGCACAGGTTCCATCCCCAGCCAGGGAAATGACCCACCTTGGTGCATCAGACCTCTCCTCTCTCCCCCACTGCCCTCCTCAGCAGTGTACTTCATGTACTTTATAACAAGTTTCGATGTTGATTTGATACTACAAATTGTTGATATTATATGCTGTTTAAAACTGCTTTAACAGTATTTAAATCATGAAGCTATTTAAGAGATTGCTTTTTAGAGGAAAGTAATTGAAAATTTCTGAAGACATTTTTCTTGATTTCTAGGATATTAACTGCTTTAATTTCTATTTGATAAAAATTTCCTATGA